AATTACAATATAAGCTAGTGACATCATCAACTGATTTGACTAATAATATTATAAGCAATGACATCATTAACTGATTTGACTAATAATATTATAAGCAATGACATCATTAACTGATTTGACTAATAATATTAAAAGGTAGTGCCATCATCAACTGATTTGATTAATTACAATATAAGCAGTGACCTCTCTCTAATATTAATGGGGCTGTGGGGTAGCCTAGTGGTTAAAGTGTTGGCTCATCATGCCGAAGACCCGGGTTCGAATCCCCACATGGGTACAATGTGTGAAGCCCATTTCTGGTGTTCCCCAGCCGTGATGTAGCTGGAATATTGCTAAAAGCGGCGTAAAAACCATACTCAGTCAGTCAGACTCTAATATTAACAATACACCATCCCTGTGAGCAGATGCTTGCTGACACCATGTACTGTAGTACTGCAATACAACGCGCAATACGCAACCCCAATCAATACTGTCTTCAAAAACACATTGCTTCCATGATTTCCATAGCCTCAGCTCCATGACTCCATGTCTTGTTGCCCTTTCCTCGCCTGCATTCAGTTGTCAGAGCATAAACTCCACTCGCCAAAACCCGATGTCTCATTGCAGCTACGTCATGAGAGTTAAAGCTACAGCAAGATGATACTCACTCACTCTCTCAAGGGGGCGGTGGCGCAGCCTAGTGGTTAAGCATTCGTTCGTCAATCCAAAGACCCGGGTTTGATTCCCCACATGGGTACAATGTGGGAAGTCCATTTCTGGTGTCCCCTGCCTTTGTATTGCTGGAATATTGCTATAAGTGGCATAAAACTAAACTCACTCACTCACACACTTTCTCTCTCAAGTCCCTGCTTGCAAATCCAAACTGTAACAATGCATGCTGTTCTAGTTTATTTAGCTAAGCTGTCAAATGTGTCACAATTTAATGTACAGAGTAACATGGCCTTTGATCCTGGGTTCGAGCCTCAGTTTAACTTCATTATGTTTCTTGGTCTGTCGGCACCATTATCCTGCCTGCTGATCTCACCTGAGTAGAAACAATCTGAGACCTGCATGACTTTGGCCTTTCACCAATGAGTGAGTTTAGTTTTAGGCCGCTTTTAGCAATATTCCAGCAATACCACGTCGTTGACACCAGCAATGTCACACATTGTACCAATGTAGGGAATCAAACCCGGGTCTTGGGCGTGACGAGCAAACGCTTTAACTACTAGGCAACCCCACCGTGGTTTCACCCATGCACAAGCCAACATGCCATGATATCATTGTAATATCGGTCCTGCTTTCAAAGCCTGCAAACTGCACTTCTTGAACTGAATAACCTTAATAACTGAATACCAAAACATCGTTCTGCATATTGAAGCATTTCGCTGTATTATCACTTGAATTGTCTAGGTGTGTTGGTATTGATGTGGGGAGGCTTAATAATAACTTGGTTTAACATTAGCAAGTTTAATGCACGGTAACTTGTGTGGCAACATCAATATACGGAAATTATTGCTTTGTATTGGTAGCCAGTGATTGTCAAAAGTGTGACATAAAGTTTGTAAATTTCCAATTGTCAAAGATTATTCATGAAATCTTAATCTTCAAGCCAGAAGGTTACTGAATAGTGATTGAAAGTGACAGATTGATTTGCTTCATCCAAAAGTCACCAATAGGCAAAAAGCAACCCACTTAATCATGTTTGTGTTCCTTTCAGCTCTGTCGTTAATGAATTAGAAATATTATAAATGACACAGCTATAAAATACAACTGAAGAATTGTTAATAGTCAGTAACACAATCTATCACACATCCACTTGCCAAGAGCCTTATCAAGAGATGGAAGGCTCTCCTGGAAGTGGGAATTGAGTTATACTACCATTGTCCAAACCCTTATGTTTTTTAGGCCTCATGGTGGCAGTGTTATTCAAGATGATGTCAAAATACACCAGCACCAAATTAATTTGTAATAGTGCAACGTCAACCACAGTTCTTAAAAAACATAACATTTTCAAAAGATTTGAAAACATTATTTCACTGACTAGTTCAAATTGTTAAGAGTTTCACAATCAGTGTGAAAGTGGTCAACCAAGGGTCATAATCAGTGTGAAAGTGGGCAACCAAGGGTCATAATCAGTGTGAAACTGGTCAACCAAGTGTCATAATCAGTGTGAAACTGGTCAACCAAGGGTCATAATCAGTGTGAAAGTGGTCAACCAAGGGTCATAATCAGTGTGAAACTGGTCAACCAAGGGTCATAATCAGTGTGAAACTGGTCAACCAAGGGTCATAATCAGTGTGAAAGTGGTCAACCAAGGGTCATAATCAGTGTGAAAACTGGTCAACCAAGGGTCATAATCAATGTGAAAGTGGTCATAATCATAATGTGAAACTGGTCAACCAAGGGTCATAATCAGTGTGAAACTGGTCAACCAAGGGTCATAATCAGTGTGAAAGTGGTCAACCAAGGGTCATAATCAGTGCAAAAGTGGTCAACCAAGGGTCATAATCAGTGCAAAAGTGGTCAACCAAGGGTCATAATCAGTGTGAAACTGGTCAACCAAGGGTCATAATCAGTGTGAAAGTGGTCAACCAAGGGTCATAATCAGTGTGAAACTGGTCAACCAAGGGTCATAATCAATGTGAAAGTGGTCAACCAAGGGTCATAATCAGTGTGAAAGTGGTCAACCAAGGGTCATAATCAGTGTGAATCAACCAAGGGTCATAATCAGTGTGAAAGTGGTCAACCAAGGGTCATAATCAGTGTGAAAGTGGTCAACCAAGGGTCATAATCAGTGTGAAAGTGGTCAACCAAGGGTCATAATCAGTGTGAAAGTGGTCAACCAAGGGTCATAATCAGTGTGAAAGTGGTCAACCAAGGGTCATAATCAGTGTGAAACTGGTCAACCAAGGGTCATAATCAGTGTGAAAGTGGTCAACCAAGGGTCATAATCAGTGTGAAAGTGGTCAACCAAGGGTCATAATCAATGTGAAAGTTGGCATCAGGGTATATGTGAGACACTGAGGGTGTAGACAGAGGGGAGAATGTAAGAGGAACGGACAAACAAAAACTAATGTATTTATAAATAAGCAGTCGTGGATAGAAAGATAGAAACCAATCAATTGAGAGGGATCGATTGCCTTTTACAAGTGGAAGTCATTTGTGAACAGACTGTGTAATGCATTCATCTCCTAATCATATATCAATACAATCGTGTATTGATAAACCAATTGATATAAATAATTATAGTTATTCTATTCATGTTATGGCTATCGCTGAAAAGCACTAGCTTTAGATATCCTTTGGTCTGATCAATAAACGAAAAATGGCTTAAAACAATGGCAGCAGGTGTTGATTAAACGTTATCAAAATCATTATAAAAGCAAGAAATATCAATGAACATAATAAACGATTTTTGTCAAAAGATTCTCTGTAACTAATACTCTCATACTCTCAGGAGAAATATGGGCATTGGTATTCAATAATACACAAAAAATATTCTTTCAGCCAAGATTAGCCGAAATAAGTGCCATGAACATAAATCACCTTAGCTGTGAAATCGTTACCCTGCTTACAGATCCTATGTTATCTACAGTGATAGTGTATGAGCCTTTCAGAAAGCGTAATACTACACTGGGTTCAAAAGCAATTGCGTGTCTAACAGAGTATGAATAGAGACTTTAAGCCTGAACACTTCACAAAGCTGCACGGCCCTTGGAATACTCGAGGCACTCCAAACAGATGTTCAATGCTAAAACTCGTCATTAATTAACCTCCACCTTTCTCCGAATTACTCGTAGTGTGGTAATTTAATTTCTACGGTTGAAGATGGTTTTCAATACGACACATAATAAAACGTCGACCTTCAATCGGAACACACGTCTTGTGGAACAAGTATCCCAGACTGACGACGAGTACATCACAAGCACTACAATTGGCTTGTTTTTCGTCCGTATCGCCATACAGCTCGACATATTGAAATAATCAATACTTCAGTGTATATTAAACTGGCATTGTGTCTTTGGTCTCTGAATCCATAGCTATAGAGCATTGCTATATTTACGATTGAGTGCCAAGTGACACATTTACCAGATCCGTGTTTCACAGTGGCATCAATATATCTGATATATACACCGACTGTTAACTGGGACAACCAAGGAACATTAGCTTTACATGTAAATACAGAGCAATGCCTGGCGTGGGATCTCATAGATCTGACATTGCGTTTGATTCTTGACCAAGATAGAATTGTCTCAAACTGTAAGTGTTGATGATGAGTTTTAAATGGGAATGCGTCAGATGAATGGAATCACAAAACTGTAATGTCATTCATGGGTAAAATGTTTGCGAACAGGCGCCCAATATCATTCAATAAAGGTCAAACAAAAACAGAAAACATTCATTATACGGAGGAAATCAGAAACACGACTCGTTCATAGGGCGCGGTCATAAAATCTTTTATCTGTTAGAGCGACCATACCCATATCTCTGAACTCAACCATTGTCATAGTAAAGATATTATCATCCATTGTCAATTAAGCCAGTGTAAAGTTGATGCCACGAAGACTACCCAAGATTTGTATGAATGCTTTAACACAGACAATAGTAGAACCAGCGCCCTTGTGTAAATACAACCAGCGTCCGACATCCGTGGTCGATGACAGGCTAAGCGAAATACGCATTTATAAAACATTAATATCACATACTGAATACCACTGAAGAATGGGATGAATAATTTACCACTGTCACTACAGCAGCAACGGCTTGTGATAAACGTGTGCTACGTCGTTCTACGTCGTGGTATACGACGATGGAGATATCCTGCCCTGTGCTGTTTTAATACACTGGAGAACCCGGAACTTGTTAATTGCCATTCTTCCCATCTTGTCACGTTCGTCTTGAAGAAGTTTAACAATGAACAAGTCAAGACACAAATGCCAACAAACTAACCAATTCCCTGGTGCCAAAAGCAAATTTATACTGCCAAAAACATACATACATATTATACAGGCACTTACCTTTAGGTAGAGAACCCCAGGATATTGTTCCGTTTGAACTTCTAACATGTCCCAGGTCCTCACTGGTATTATCCTCATAGACAAACTCATCTCCAATAACTGCCACAATTATCAGAAACACACAAACGAGTCCATGGAAATATCTCCGTCCATTCATGTTGAGTGTGCTGTTAAACTACAACTGCATCGCCACTACGACCCGGCATCCAAGTCGCCTTTTTGATGTTAGCTTATCCTGTATCGCCAATTCTCATGATTAATCCCGATCGATAAGAAACGGCCTCCCGTCACTGACAATGCCGTTCTCCGAGTTTCAAACAGGAAGCACGTCCAACAGGCACGCCACAACCCAGCTACAGTTGAACACACACCATTGAACACTATCTAACTATTCTATGCTTCGGTGACAGCGCTTGTCTCCCTTTGGTGCCAACACAATCAGCACCTACTGTTGATGTACTTTCTACAAGTCTTGTAGTGACTTGCCCGGCCCCTGCGATTCGCTGCCTATCAAGCTTCACCACGTGGTAGTCTATTTATAGCCGCCAAGTTCACAAGTGACAGAAGAGCATGCGGCTGTTGGATCCCTGTTAAGCGAGTGGTACAATAATTAAATATATCGCGTTCCTTTCATCTCACGGACCCTCAGTAAGGTAAACGATATCGCGTAACAGTTGCTTAAACCCGCTTACAGCCACCTGAATGTCATTAAATAGCGTGTTTACTGTCATTAAATGACATGTTTGTGGTACAGGTTTCTGTTGTGTTACGTCTAAGGGCAATCTCGGCGCTCGTACACGGCAAACATTCAACGAGGCGAGATGTTGTACAACATGTATGTACAGTCAGGCCTAGTACTACAGTGTGACGGAACGTTATCAGGATATGAAGGTAATGTGCTGGAAAATAACACAGGCCGACTTTGTTTTGAGAAACAATGCCTTCATATTTATAGCTAGGTTGTGTGCCGTCGCCGTACGATGGTAATATTGCAACGGTGGAGCTAAACCGACATACCCACCGAACACACAGTGGCATGAAATATATGTACATATATGAAATAGCGTTCATTTATCGTACACTATATTTTGTAGATACTAAAGTTAAAGGAGACGATGGGGATACCAGGAGGGACAAAGCCTCCAGGGCCGCGTTTCACAAAAAGATCAAAGCCCTATGATATTGTTGTACTTTAATATAGAGTTATGGCAGTCATAGCGCTACGGTAGCTTGTGGAACAGGGTCCAGTACTTCATGCTGGTTGGAAGATTCCTTAATTGATGACCAAGCGGACAACATATGTTACCTGGACGACTGTTTACAACATATGTCACCTGGTCGACTGTGTACAACATGTGTCACCTGGTCGACTGTGTACAACACGTGTTGCCTGGTCGACTGTGTACAACATATGTCACCTGGTTCGACTGTGTACAACATATGTCACCTGGTTCGACTGTGTACAACATATGTCACCTGGTTCGACTGTGTACAACATATGTCACCTGGTCGACTGTGTACAACATGTATCACCTGGTCGACTGTGTACAACATATGTCACCTGGTCGACTGTGTACAACATGTGTCACCTGGTCTACTGTGTACATGTGTTACCTGGTCGACTGTGTACAACATGTGTCACCTGGTCGACTGTGTACAACATATGTCACCTGGTTCGACTGTGTACAACATATGTCACCTGGTCGACTGTGTACAACATATGTCACCTGGTCGACTGTGAACATGTGTCACCTGGTCGACTGTGTACAACATGTGTCACCTGGTCGACTGTGTACAACATATGTCACCTGGTTCGACTGTGTACAACATATGTCACCTGGTCGACTGTGTACATGTGTCACCTGGTCGACTGTGTACAACATATGTCACCTGGTCGACTGTGTACAACATGTGTCTCCTGGTCGACTGTGTACATGTGTTACCTGGTCGACTGTGTACAACATGTGCCACCTGGTCGACTGTGTACAACATGTGTCACCTGGACGACTGTGTACATGTGTCACCTGGACGACTGTGCACAACATGTGTCACCTGGTCGACTGTGTACAACATATGTCACCTGGTCGACTGTGTACATGTGTCACCTGGTCGACTGTGTACAACATATGTCACCTGGTCGACTGTGTACAACATGTGTCACCTGGTCGACTGTGTACATGTGTTACCTGGTCGACTGTGTACAACATGTGTCACCTGGTTCGACTGTGTACAACATATGTCACCTGGTTCGACTGTGTACAACATATGTCACCTGGTCGACTGTGTACAACATATGTCACCTGGTCGACTGTGTACAACATGTGTCACCTGGTCGACTGTGTACAACATGTCTCACTTGGTCGACTGTGTACAGTCATGCTGTCAGCCACCTGTTGTTGGGCTGCCGCTCTGATGATTGCCGCGTAAAGTAGAGGTACACACTTTTACAATACAAGCTCCAGGGAGTGAGGCAGCGATTAACCATTGCTTCACTCCGCAATAGCAATCTTCAGCCATTACGCGACCTTGGAAAATGAAATTAGTTTATTAGATATTTGTAGTATTGATTGGTGGTAGCAAACGACCGCGTGACATATGTGCTATTGACAAAGGGTGGCTGACATGACCTGCTCAGTTGGGGATGGCATCACCTAGAGTTCCATGACGTTTACCCTTGGTGTTCTCCGTAGTTGTGGGGCGGTTGGATAGCCTCGTGGTTAAAGCGTTCGCTCGTCTAGCCGAAGACCCGGGTTCGATTCCCCACATGCATACAATGTGTCCCCCGCCGTGATATTGCTGAAATATTGCTAAAGGTGCTAAACTCACGTAGTTGTCTCAGCAGATTTGCATAATATTGGCCACTAATAGTCTTCCACCTTTAGCATTAATTTGAACCATCAGAAAACCGAAACCGTCTCCTTGCCAGCTTATAGTACAGGTATTGCATGCCCTTTCTTCGTATAAGGAGGTGCCAGGTGATAGTCCCAGCATTGACTGTTGCTAAGGCTAATCGTTGGGAACCCTGGGCCTATCCACGGATGCACATCGTTCAAAAAGCAACTGGATCTGCTTCTGTTCTCACGCGAGCGTTTCTTGTCAGGAATCAGAAGCCCCGGAACCTTGCATGCAGTCATGCCCAGTTCATTCCTGGACCTGTTCTCAACTCTCACGAGAGATTCCTACTGTATGGGCTGTGTGGCGTGTAGCGAGTCGTCGATCATCCGTGATAATCTTATGCGTTGTGTCAACAGTTCCCTTAGCGCTGGCCGTTGAAGCACTTCCTGATTGTGGATCATCTTTGAATGTCTTTCTTCCTCCCTTGAACTCCGCTGCCAGCCTCCTAACGATGGTAAAGGAAGGAGCACCATCCCCTTCAGGTGACACCACGTCAGCGTGGAAAGTGGGTGGGATTAGTTAGCCCTTCCAGTTGGAGATGCTTGGTGACTGAGCTGTAGTCGGTTTTATTAATACAGAATACCCTGTCTATCTGGTGCCTGTAGAGATATGCTGTCCGGTTATGTATTATGTTCAAATGCAGTCTGTCATCAAGTCATTCACTGGATTGTCTGGTCCAGGCTCGACTGGTTATATTAGCCGCCGTTGTATAGTTGGGTGCGGCGTTAAACAAACTGTAATTCTAACCCGGCCACATACAGTGGGATTACTATATCGCCAATAGCTATTTTTTCTTGTAATAGACATTTTCAACAATGCTGTGTTGTCACGTCTCGTAAAGGTTACAACAATATCTTTACCACATTGTGTGTGTGTGTGTGTGTGTGTGTGTGTGTGTGTGAACCTACCTGCGGAGACACTTATCTAGGTATTAAGCACTTGTCAATACTTAAATACTTGAACAAACGTTTCCCGCGTATTTATGAAATGTATCGATCACTGATCGCGTTCAGTGCAGTGAGTGAGTGGTGTTTTACGTCAACAATGGTTCAAAGATTGAGCAACGAACTTCGCCTCGGGGCACGTTAGCAGAAGCTCGACCGCCAGTCCATTAGTCGCCCACGGGGGCATCCATAACCCAGAGCATCCCTTCCACCCACGGGGAGGTAAAATGAACTTTAAGCTGGAGTTTACGTCCATTGCATGCACCCACACACCTGGCGGCGTTAGCGTGTGACTGCTTTTCAAAAGCAGTAGAAGTACTAATGGGGACGTGTGTGGTGTTCCTAATGCTTCTAGACCTTACCCTGACTCTCTAACCCTGACAGCACTTGTTTAATCCCCTTAACGTCAGTCGGGGTAGCAATAAATACCATGATCTAATCCATGTATATTGTTAAGACGCGGGTTCGAACCACTGATCTTCCCGCTCGGAGTCACACTGTAGCTACAAGACCAAGGGGCACACGTTTCGTGCAACCATACAATAAAACCTATTCAGTAAGCTTGAGATGACGATTGTGAGGAGTGATGACGTATGTGTGTCGCTGCGCCCCGACGACGTGGACCGTTACCCACGTCCCGTCCACTGGTTTGCCTACTCCAGACTCGACTATGTAGCCTACAAGATATACAGGGAGTATTGTTGACAACGGCGTAAAACAACACTCACTCACTGTATGCTAACCTTATGAACTATATGACTATGTCGGATGATCGCGTGGTTCGTTCCTTCAGCAACTGCTGAGGTTTTCCACAGGTAGACAGGTAGACCATGTGATGGGTGTCATCTCTGACTCTACCTTGTCAATGGAAGCCCAAGTTAATCAAGTGTGCCAGACCTGCTACTTCCATCTAAGAAGTATTGGTAATATCCGCCATCTTATTACCAATGACGTAACAAAGACACTAGTCCAACAACTTGTGATGTCCCGCATTGACTACAGCAACAGTCTGCTGTATGGTTTGGGTCAGGAACTGCTGAACAGACCCCAGAAGGCCCAGAATAGGGCAGCTCGTATTGTGAGTCGTGTACCATAAAGATGCCACATAACACCGGTATTGATGTCCATACACTGGTTACCAATAGAAGCCCAGATCCACTTCAAGATCTTGTGTTTTGCCCACCACTGTTTGAATGGTACAGCACCGAGCTATATATCAGAACTGATCTCTCCATACAAGCCTTCACGACGTCTAAGGTCTGAAAACCAGCTCCTACCTGCAATACCAATCCTACGGCAACAGATCGTTTCAAGTAGCAGCACCTCAGTTATGGAACTCACTACCTCAGAACATTAAATAATCCCCCACCCTTGAGATATTCAAAACCAGCCTAAAAACCTTTCTCTTCAGAAAGTTCTATACCCAGGAACTATCTCCTCTCGTGAAATTCGCATCTGACACTACTGTAGCGCCTTGAGCATGCACCTCTGTGCATGGATAAAGGTAGTCTGTCTCACAGTCCCTGAACCACATTAATTTCACTACTGCCAAGCCCTCTCTGCAGTGCTAAAGCCCTAAATAAAGCAAGTCTAGATTTCCTCAGGATCTCTGGTCTCCCTAGGGCTCCTTTTCAATATAAATGAGCTTGTTTGTTACTATCAAAATTATATATATTCAGAGACTAAGCCTTAGTCTAGGATAAAGGGTGTGATGAAGTAAAAACTGTATAGCCAGGTATAATCTCCAGCGAGTCTTCTATTCTCCCTGGTATAACATACATAACGTGATTGCAAAAGAACAACCAGTCTTGATATTAGACCTGGGACGGGTCCAAATTTTCTACCCGGGTACCCCACCCCCTATTACCCTACCCGGATACCCGTTATGTTAATTCCTGATATCAGATTTGTAAGAAATGGCAAATTATATAT